AGTTTGGAGAGCAGACCACAAATTTATAGTGTGTGTTGTCTTTTTTTCTTTTACTTACAATGGAATACAAAGGAAACATGAAAATAATCAAGAGGAAAATAATGCAGCAGGCTGAAAATAGCTATTATAGATATCGTTGTTACCCTATATCACGTCACATTTATATACCAAATGTAAAGTTATTATCCTAACTTCTCAAAAAATAGAAAATGAATGAAAATTTACAGCCAATTCAGTCAAAATGCCGGATAAGGATTAGTGCATACTAATGATTTGAAATGATTTGTTGCAGTCTTTTTGAGTGGAAGTTCCCCAAACCGGAAGTGCCTCCCATAATTTAAAACGCAGTAGCCTAATCAACCAATCAGAGTGATCTCTCTCTCTCCAGCTGCCCAACCATGATTCACCATGTTCAGTCAGCCTAAAAACACTAGCAACCACTCAGAACCCTGGCATAATTGAGTTGCACATCATGGGCCACTTTTTCAGACAATGTAAAAATGTAGTTATATGATAGGCCTAATGTATAATTATAGAATACAGAAATAATTTTTACAAGGTACAAGTCAATTTATTTAGCAATAATGACTGGCCGCTGATATTGTATGGTAATGTGGCTACCATACGAATAAATAAATAGGCGGATGTTTTTCAACACAATCTGTTTCACAACACAATGAACACTGTAACAGTAATGTATCAATATTAAAATTAAATTTGGCTGTGGTAAGATGGTGCCAGTTGCTTTTAAATAAAACGAGAGAGCGACGATGGTATCCTTTATTTTCAGTGGGAAATTGGCGGAAAGCGGCAAAAACACCCAAAATCTTGCTGCTTTCGCAAGAATGTACATCGAACTGATCATTAATCAAAGAACATTTCACTGAGCTAATATCGTAGGGCTGAAAATTGAGGAGGCAATCCTTTTTCATTTCGTTGAGTTTTCAGAATTGTATGCCCCCTCAAAAATCACATACAGACATTTATGCAAAATCAGAGCATGCATGACTTAGGTTGCCAGTTAAAACCAGTGTACAATATTAACTAAATTATGTGTGACATGGTAAACTATACTAGTCATACACCATACACAATAAAGAAGCATATTATATTTAATTCCCGGGTCAATATCACCATAGAGTGCCTTTCAACCCTCACAATACTCAAAAATGTTGGTTTTAATTAATTTCCCATTCACTTTATATCATGTCATAAATAGTACACACTCAAGTACTATAGAAACATATTAGTTGAGCTCCCGCGCATTTTTTTTTAGATAATTATGGGCCATTATTCCAAGCATAAACCATAAGATATGTCCACCCTGTCATGGACATATATCACTGTTAAGCTTTGGAAAAGCAAGTAAGCAAACTCATACGAAGAAAATTTGTCAGTTGAAAAGTCACCAGCTTACTCACTTCAGCCGTTGAAATTCCCGCCACTGAAGAGACAAAAAAATATCTGTTGTGCTGATGTCACTAAAGTGGATTGCCTTTTCTTAAAGGGGCGGATTTCCCAATATGACAGGGTGGACAACCATTCAAGGGACATGACCAAACTCTTCTTTTTTATTAAATAAAAATATTGTTTTTATTACCAAATGATCAATACACTCAAATTGAGTAATATCTTATTTAACAAAATATTAATAGGAGAACAACATTTTTTTAATGTTATGATTTGACAATATTCTACTATCATTCAAATTCAATGAGCAGTGCATGGGACATAACAAAATAACACGCATCCTTTTACAAAACAAAACAAATCTAGAAAATGTATCTAAAGCCAAGTAATGCTTTTGTTATGAACATAAAAACTTAGCTTAATATAACACACCCTTTCATAGTCATTTTTATGTTACGTTATCATGGCAAATGAGTTGTTAATGTACAGGACACCAAAAGGCACCCTACAGTGATATTGACCCTCCCATGAAGTTGTAAATAATGAATAGCATTGCATGGGTCAATGATGAGCATAGTGAAAATTTGCATCAGGTTCTGTTGTATGCAAATCAGACAGACAAATCAATAATGATTAACAGTTCCTACTGATTTGATTTAACTATATGTAAATAGCTGAAGAAACAAAATGTGCAAAGTTTAAAATCTGACCAATCAGCATCAAGTAGAGTTGTGAGTCATTCACCTTGCTCATTGCTTTCCTCTGTTTCTCAGGAGTGTGTGAGGAGGTGTGTGCAGGATGCCGAGAGAAGTATTCGTGAGGAGTGTGACCTGAAGTCAGAAAGAGAGAAACGGGCCCTACAGGACAGACATGAAGAGGAGATATCTGAGCTACAAAGCAGGTAAAAATACCCATGAAACACCCCTCCTGCTCACCCCAGCTTCCTGTTGTGATGCATCTCAGCTATTCTCTTTCTCTTTCCCACCTTTTGTAAATTTCATTAGTTTCCCTCTTTGCATCTCTCTGCTTTCTCCCTTTTCTACAAGAATCCTAGAATATATAGATTTTGTTATCTTCAATGGTTTCTCCACCACTTTCTTTCTTTCTTTCTTTTTTTTAAATAATGTTCTGAAATGGTGCACGACGGTGCATGTGTTTTAGGATACAGCAGCTGCAGGACAGTCTGGAGCAGGCCTGCAGGGAGCGCATTCAGTATGAAGCAGAGTTTAAGGTCAGCCCTTGTAATGAGGTCATCATGAATAAATGAACAGCTCTAAAAAGGGACCTGCTCAAATCCAGCATCTGCAACACCCTGCAACAAAATGACGGAATAACAGAACTTTCTCTTTTCCCGTGCCAGCACGTCCTCTGACGTTTGGTTCTTATTAAGCTTAGTTTGTTTCCCCCCATGAGTCTGTGTTCCTTCCTGTCTTAATAGACAACAGTATTGACATTTGACCTTTTGCTTGAAGACGTTTCCATCTTTGGTCATTATGATGATCCACCTGTCTAGCTAAAATTCAGTCAGCATGTTTGTGTGCTTCCATCTTCTTCCTGTCTTTCAGAAGGTGCAGGCCAGCTACAGGCGGTTTGTGGACTTGACTGATTCCTCCCTCCACTCTGATTACCTCTTAAAGCTGCGCAGACTGGGGACAGAGCCAGGTCTCATGGACACTGCGACACAGACTGATGAGATCACCTCCTAACTGTGATCTTGTGATGGCAGTGTTCTCACATCACAGCATCTGGGTATTTGACATGACATGTCACAGCAGTGTCCAGTACATGCTGTACTTGGTCTAAAATCATTTTTAAGCATTTGTCAAACATTTTCTAGAAACTATAGGAATATTTGTCATTTGATGCACAGCAGAATTATTTGAGTGCACCGCAAAAGCTTGAAAGTGGTTAAAAACTATGAAAAACATCTCAAATATACTTTCCTTCATGCGTTTATCTTCCTCAGTCCCAAGATTGAAAACTTTACAACCTATTTTTTAGTTATGAAATGTGTTGACAGTTGCATAATAAATAGGGAAAATGCATATATATTACTGTACTTTATAATGGTATATTAAAATGTAAATGTTTGCAGTTTTGTAAGATTAAAGTGAGTACAGCATGTTTTCTCTGTCTGCATGTAAAACTATGTTGAACTAATAGGTTTAACTAACAGATACAATTTTAATAAATAAATCTGAATATTTAATACCATTAATCTTATTTTACATTGTAGTGTAGTGATTGACACTACGGATGAACAACATATTAAATATTTAATAATGTCCTGGAGCAGCTTACACATTGTTACTGTTAGGCCTATTTGAATTACATTAACATGTATTGTGTGTATTGTTACCCACTGATCCAAATGTACAGTATACTAGATATTTTCACTGGAAATTGTTGTATGAAAAAATATATATATGTGCCCTTTCACAGCAAGATTCCATGATGACAAATAGGCACACATATTACAGGTAAAAAAACAAAACAAAACAATATTAAAAAAAAATATTGGTGCTGTTGCTAACTTGCTACACAAAGAATTTCCAAACAAAATGACCTAGTTTACTAGACGTTTGCCAGTCGTTAAAAAGCCTTGCTATTTATCAACTACCTGCTTTAAATACATTTTCAAAATGCCATTTAAAGTCTTTTGATGAATTGGGACTGCAGTAGAATATAAAATAAATGTGACATGAATGGATGAAATTTATGGATTAATCGTTTATAATTGTTATATTAATATTACATAAAATTATATTAATATTAGATCAAATTGATACGGCTGTCCAAAGGGGCGTCATCTAAAGAGTTGTGGGCTGTAGTAGCATTACTTCACCGCCGGGTGTCAGTGTAGGCAAGCTTTTACTCCTCCGCCTTAACGCCTTGGGTCCCATCAGCAGCGCTTAGTCCATAATACACTTCCTAATTGTAGTTTTCAGATGTAATAGACAGGCATACAAACACAATTAATTACCAATTTTTCACATACGCAGAACGCTGAAAATCATTGCAGTTTCAATTGGACGGTAGAGATATTTATTAAACAAGCTCTTTATCTGCTGCATATCTTACTAAGCTTGTCATTAGTGTCGTTACCACCAGCATGAAATGTTATTACATGCACCGTTACCAGCGAATGCACTGGGGGCGCTGTAGCTCCGTAAGCCGTCGCTTCTGAATGCACGGCGTTGATCGGTGTGATCGGGTGCCGGGGATCACGAGCATCATATCAAACGGAAAGAGAAGCAGTCACAAAAATTTACGTGCACTGAGACTGGTATTATTTATTTATGGATACAGAGAATCCTTTACATGAGCATTGGGAAATATGTTTGCATGGTATATGGATGTGTTCGTGACTGACGTGATTTAATAGCACCTCTACTACATGCGGAAAAACAAATCCCCCAAAGAAAAACCCGCTCCGTTAGTGCGCACTTCAGCCGGAAGATGGGATTTTTTTTATTCGAGCGCGCACATCTCCCCTTTCCCCCTCCCTCCTGCTCTCTTGCTCTCCCTCTCCCTCTTTCTCTCTTTCTCAAACAACTCAGTCTGTCAGTGTGCGCCGAGTGTTAGGAACAAGTCTCACTAGTCGGATTTGCAGCCAGAGAGAGAGACACATCGAGAGAATCCAAGCAGGGCAGACGAGAAATGAACTATCTAATGACTTGCCACATCCGAGCACATTCTCAAACACCCTGCAACCGAGACCCATGAATAAGGATTGCAATATTTTTTTCCCACCCTGGAAAATCTGGCAATAATTTTGTCGGTCTCGGCACATTTGTAAATTTGTGTCCATTTGATATGCTTGTTTTTCATTTGCATTGATTAGTTTCGTTTAGCTATCTTTGCGTTAATTATCCGGATTGCTTGCTGCCCAACATTTCGAGTGCATGCGGAATTATTGGAATCTCGGAGGCAAGCAGGAAAATCCAATTGGAGAACTAGAAGAGAGAAAGAGAAGCAGCGAGATCTGTCCAGCAGCATCAACATGTTCTTCTGAAGAGGCGAGGAAAAGCTCATTCCCAAACCATCATCCATCTACCATCACATTCCCGTCCTAATTCGTGGGGAAAACAGAATGAAGCGGGAGTGAAAAAGGGAATGGGAAAGATAGGTCCAGTCTGAAAGCCGCGGGAAAAAACAAAACAATATAAGCATCACGAAATACTGGAAAAGTAAACTCTTGCAAGAAAAATTGCAACAAAACGGCTGTGGGAATTGAAATTGCGCCGGAGTTTTGTCCACGAGCTACTTTTCCCTAAAGACATTTTTTGTGGAATTTGCTCCTTAAAATCCACACAGACTGCACCTTTGTTTAATCTGTCCTCCCGTGTGTGTGTGTGTTTTAGTTGATATCCATGCGGGCTCCCAAAACACGTTGTTCCAGATCACACTGACGGATTCACCTGAAGCACACAAGCTTTGTTCCGAGTCCAGAGATCTCCAACCTCTGGGAGAGTATCCCACACAGCTTTGATGGGAGTAAATAGACGGAATTCGGGATTTCAAATGGCGAGTCGGGGTTGTGAAAATGGATTGGGAATTCTCCTGATATTCTTAGTGGATTTACTCGGGATCACGGCGTCCAACATGGAGCCCATCTACTGGAATTCCTTGAACAAAAGGTAAGAGCCGCAACTAAAGGCATTGGGCACGGCATTTATTCCCCGGTTATTTAAGAAGAGCTTTGCGTTGGAGATAGTCAAACGCCTAGTATTTTCGCACAAATCGTTGAAGGACGGCTTTGAAACGTCTCTCGCAGGGGGAAAGAAAGCTGTTAAGCGCTATTACGCAGACAAGCCCCTTAGTGGATAATCACGAGTCTGCAGAAGTTACGAGCATCAATGTCGCCAGACTAATAAATGCCACATTTCATTGCCGGTGTGTGTTGAGGAATTTAGCCGCCACAGTTACCGCTGTTTATTGACGCTGCACTGTTTCACTGGCTCTCCTTCAGATACGCTCCAGTTAGATTGGCATGAATTCTAGTTGCTCAACACCAAGTATTTTTCCGTCTTAATGTCATTTAAACAATGTAACTTTTGTAAAACGTCCTTGCTTAACTTGTGGGAACGTGTAGAAGCCACCAAAGCTGCTTCAGTCACCAGCTCAACTTCTGTCAAACAAAAGAGATAGGCTAGTTCTGCCAAGGTGCGTACTTGAACATATCGTCGACACCTATGCACACCGGTCATGCAAAAACGTTTACATGAATTCAAAACCATTTGCACTTTTATTTATACGTGACAACTCTGTTAAATAGGCTACAACTCCAACTTTAAACGAAACTGAAAAATGAAAACTGGTAGAACCTTCTTGGGGACTAATATTAGTTAGCAACTTATCTGCGGTCATGACAGTACTTAAAATAAAAGAAGGTGTAAGCTTTCACTCTTAGTCGACACCTTACTGGACTAGTTAACGTGGAAACAGCTAAAGTGAAAAGTTTTACACGCAGGTGTTAACTTTAGATGGTCAATCAGTCCCATTTCACGCTACAACATTTATTACTCCAGTCACGGAGGTGACACGATTTTCCCATCGCAGGAAGCAATAGTGGGTAATTTACAGCTAGATTTCTCGTAGTATATATCTGTAAATAAGGGGGCGGTTTCTGCAACCCAGCATCTGTGAATTCATTTAGTGGGGAGCCAAAGAAACCCATGCAAACGGCGTGTCCGGCACATAAACGACGATTTATGGCCGAGCAGACCCCTTTCTTTCTTTCTTTCGCCCTTCTGTCATTACTGGGCTTGTTTAAATGGACACCCGGCGTCGTGGGAGCACTTGTGTGCCCGGTCTAAATCGGTATGTGGGTTATGAGGGGCTATTAGTGGTGCCACGAGCTCTTGAAAGACGAATAGGTTTTTAATGTGTCCATGTGGCGCATATACCGGGCTCTGCGCTTCAACAGATGCTGCTGGGGGGGATGGAGGGGGTTTATTCTGTCCCAGTGGCCGCTGGCAGACGCTCTTAATGAGGGTTCTTGTCGGTGTTGCTTGTGTTAATCTAGCAGGGGTTTGTGGGGACCTCATTTGAAACGGGAGCGCGGGTGGGGGGCATGACCGTGACCATGCGTTTTCTGCTTGACCTTTACCTGAGAAGGAGAGAAGGAGAGGAGCACCGATGACAATGGTTTTTAACTGATTCAATCACTTGAAATCGATGTAAGTCGATCAGCAGTGGGCGCTGGTTTTCTCACGGATTCTTCGCACTTTAAATTATCCGAATTTCGCTTAATTTCACAGTGGAAACGCTCACAATTAATACAACTTTGAAAATCTGGAATCTGAGGGTGCAAAAAAATCTGATTATTGAGAAAATCGCATTTAAGTTTGTCCAAATGAAGTTGTTAGCAATGTATATTACTAATCAAAAACTATATATTTACTGTAGGGAATTTACAAACGATCTTCATGGAACATGATCATTACTTAATACCCTAATGATTTTTGGCATAAAAGAAAAATCGATCATTTTGACCCACAATGTATTGTTGGCTATTGCTACAAATATACCCGTGCTACTTATGACTGGTTTCGTGGTCCAGGGTCAC